ATGGGAGCCCTGGAAAACAATTGGGGTGAAGACGTCTTTGCTGGGACAAAGACTTTTTTAGCCCAGTGATTCGCATTTCAGCCCAAACCCAACTTCAGAAACGGCATCAGACACGGCGATCTTTCTGAATATGGGTTTGAGCTTGAATCTGAAACTCCAGGCGAATAAAACTCTTGTCCCGTCGATCCCATCTTCTTCCTTTCGTTTAATTGACCTCAAAGGCCTCTGATATTTAACTTTTTAGCTTTAAACGCCTGTTAATTGCCATTGTCCTTACTTAATCGGTTCTAAAACCATGATGGCCGATACTCTGCATCCTTAGCTAACGCATTGGTTTGTCAAGGAACTAGGGATAATTTGATATAATCCTTGTCATAAACACAAAAACAAACTCCATTTTATTGAACTAACATAAGAAAAGAAACAGACCCAACATAAGTGGGATCTTTGCAAATGTATCACTTAAGCTATATTATCTAAATTTCTAATGTTTGATTAGTATGCATAATTATTAACCAACTTTAAAACGTAGCAATTAGAATTCCATTGGGTCAAGTCCTCACCAGCATTGTATGGCTTATCTGAAAGAAAACGTCTCACCAGAATCAAAGAAAAAATTACAAAATTTTTTTTATATATATTTGTTATTGCTGATATTGACGGAGAGACCAGAAAAAAATGTATTGGAATGGTCTGCATCCCAAAAAAACTTCGAAGTGGAAAGGGTTCATGAAAAGAAGATGCCTTTCTTGAATGTCCATATTTATAGACGTGAAAGTGTCTTAATTAGACTAGCGGTATTCCATGAACGTGGTAATAAACCTCGTTTCACTTAGAAATATAGCAGTCCTGTACGCCAAAAATATCACAGAAGCAGACATTTCCATATAGACCGTTATAGCAACATGCTCCTTTATGACATAAATATTTAAAACATGGTCAAACAACAGTTGCGATGTCCCACTGAACGTTTTTTTTAACGAAATAGTAGGTGCGGTTACGGT